GCACTTCCCTCTTTCTACTGCTAATACCTCTCCCTATCCAACCAAGCATTCTGCTAGCATTTCCTGCTATTCTATTACATTGTCTGCCTACCTTTAAGTCATCAGAAATAATCACCCCTAAATCCCTTTCCTCATATGTTGAGGTTAGGACTCTATCAAATATTCTGTACTCTGCCCTTGGGTTTTTACATCCAAGATGCATTGTCTTGCACTTATCCACGTTAAATGTCAGTTGCCACAATTCTGACCATTTTTCTAGTTTACCTAAATCATTTTCCATTTGGCTTATCCCTCCTGGAACATCAACCCTGTTACATATCTTAGTATCATCAGCAAAAAGACATACCTTACCATCAAGACCTTCTGCAGTATCACTAATAAAAATATTAAAGAGAATGGGTCCAAGTACAGATCCCTGAGGTACCCCACTGGTGACAAGTCCAAGCTTCGAATATATTCCATTAACTACAACCCTCTATTGCCTGTCACTCAGCCACTGCCTTACCCATTCAACAATATTGGAATCCAAACTTAAAGATTGCAGTTTATTGATAAACCTTCTATGTGCAACAGTGTCAAAAGCCTTACTGAAATCTAGGTAAGCAATGTCTACTGCACCACCCTGATCTATAATTTTAGTTACCCAATCAAAAAAAATCAATAAGATTAGTTTTGGCATGATCTCCCTGAAGTAAACCCATGTTGTCTCTGATCTTGAAATCCATGTGTTTTTAGATGTTCAACAATCCTATCCTTTAACATAGTTTCCATCACTTTCCCCACTACTGAAGTAAGGCTTACTGGCCTATAGTTGCCCGACTCCTCCCTATTACCTTTCTTGTAAATGGGCACAACATTCGCTAACTTCCAATCTTCTGGGACTACTCCTGTTAACAATGATTGGTTAAATAAATCTGTTAATGGTTTTGCTAGTACACCACTAAGCTCTTTTAATAACTTTGGGTGTATTCCATCCAGTCCCATTGACTTATTTGTCTTTACTTTTGACGGTAAGGGAAATGGGGCACCACTTCCTCCTGTAAACTCCGCGTGTAATAAATGACTCATTTATCCTTTTTTTTCTCAGCTAAGGGTCCTTTTCCTTCCATTTTCTTCTGTAAATACTGAACAAAAATATTCATTGAGGCAGTCAGCTAGACCTTTATCCTCTTCTACATACCTTCCTTCTTTTGTTTTTAATCTAACTAATCCCTGTTTTACTTTCCTTTACTTATTTATGCATCTAAAAAAAATGTTTGTCCCCTTTTTTTACTGACTGTGCTATTTTCTCTTCTGTGCTTGATTTGGAAGCTCTTGCTTAGCCTCTTTCTGCCTAATCTTACAGATCATTCTGCCTTCCTCACTCTGTTTTTTTTTTTATAATTACTAAATGCAAACTTTTTGTTTTTAACTATTTTGGCCCATCTGCAGAGTACCACGAGTGGTTTTCTTGAATTTTGCTTTTTTTAATAAAATACAATGCAATTTTTTCACCATTTTACTTTAATAGTACAATTTTTAAATAATCCCATTTTTCTTGGACTCCATTTAGAGTTTGCTCCCAGTCTGATAGCTAGCTCCCTCTACCCATATTCTAATTTTAGAAAGGTCTGTTTTCCTAAAGAGTCTAAAACTTTATTTTTTGTGTGGTGTGAGCTCAGTCACTTTGTTCTTATATTAGAAGCCCCACTGAGCTACAGGCTGATCACTGGATCCTAAAAACTTTCACCTAGGTAACATCTGATACCAAATCTCATTTGTTAACACTTCGTCTAGTATGGCCTCTTTACGAGTTGGCTCCTCAACAACTTGTTTTAGAGACAATCCCAGTAGGGAGTTTAGAGTAGAATTTAAAGGGAATTTAATTTGCTAGCACTATATTTAACCACTGGTACTGTTCTAGTCGGGGGACTTCGCTGAACACAAATATTAGTGTTCCAAAACAGTAAAATGTATTACAACGATGATATGGCCAGTAAAA